AATTTATGACTGGGCATTCTTGAAGTCCTGTGGGCCTCACAACTGCAGAACAGAATCAGCGACAGCAGAAGTGCAATCAATTACAGTCTATAATCTTATAGTTCTGTATTACTACCCTTAAGTTAGTGAACCAGCCCTGGTTCAATGAAGACTGCAGGTGTCTATGCCAAGAGCAGCCCCAGGCATTCCTAAAAATGAAATGTCAACCTGCTGTAGCTACAGCAGTAGACGACTTGTATGCCAAAAAGCAGAAGCAGTGTGTGATAGAGCTGTATGCAATCCCATAACCAATGGGTTACATCTAAGCTGTGCAGTCCTGCCACATCTAACCATGAATGCTGGTGGACAATCAATCAACTGAAAGAACAAGTAGGAGACTTCACAAATATCCCCTTCCCCAATAATGAGGAAGCCCAGCACAACAGTGCAAAAGACAGTGCTAAGTAGATGATCCATCTACATACATTTCCTCTGGAAGTCCCCTGCATCACAGATGCCAATATTCACCCAATTCAATTCACTCTACACAATATTACGAAACAGCTGAAGGCACTGAATACTATGAAGGCCACAGACCCCGACAACGTCTGGCAATAGTACCAAAGACTTGCGCCCCACAGCTAACCATGCCATACCCAAACTGTCTCAGTGCAGTTACAATACTGGTACCTATCAAGCAAAATATCCTGTGAGCAAAAAGCCAGATAGATACAACTCAGCCAATACCAACACATCAGCCTACTCTCAAACAGGAGCAATTAAGAAGACAGCTCACCATCACTTTTCAAGGGCCATTCAGAATGAGCAATAAAAGCCGGCCCACCAGTGATCTTCACATCCAACAAACTCATTAAAAATGTGATGGAAGGGGTCAATAGTGCCAACAAGCAACACTTGCTGACTATCAGTCTGAGTCCTGTCAGGACCATTCAGCTCAAGGTTTAATTACATACTTGGTCCAAAAATGGACAAGAGCTGGACTCCAGAGGGGAAGTGAAAATGATTGCCCCTAACATCATGGCAGCACTTGACTGAGCATGGCATGAAGGAGTCCTAGCAAATCTCGAATCAATGGGAATCAGGCAAAAAAGTCTGGTAGGAGTCATACCAAGCACTAAAATAGATGGCTGTAGCTGTTACAGGTCATTCTTTGCAATCCCAAGGTATCACTTCACGAGTTCCTCAGGATAGTGTCTAGGGCCAACCATCTTCAGCCGCTTCTTCAATGACTTACCCTGAGTCATAATGTCAGAAACGGAGATGTCTACTGGTGATTTCACAAGTTCAACACCATTTGCTACTCGTTGGACACTGAAATATCCTATGTCCATTTGCATCAATATGGGACAACATGAAGGCTAAAGATGAAAAAATGACAAGGAACATTTGTAACATACAAGTGCCAAGCAATGATAATTGCCAACAAGAAAGATTCTAACCATCACCCTTTGAAGTTCAATGACATTACCACCACTGAATCCCACACTTCCAACATTCCAGGGATTACCACTGACCAGAAACTTAACTGGACCAGCCGTATAAATTCTGTGGACGTAACAACAGGTCATAGTCTAGGAATTCTGTGGCAAGTAACTCCATCGCTTGACTCCCCAATGACTGCCCAGCATCAACAAGGCACAAGTCAGGAGTGTGATGGAATGATCTTCATCTGTTTGATTGGTGCAGCTCTAATGATACAGGAGAACACAACATATGCAGCACAAACCAGCCCAACTGAGTGAACCCTATACACCACCTTCAACATTTTCTCCCTTCACCAACACACAGTATTTACCATCTAGAAGGTGCACTGCGCAACACAGTAAGCCTTCTTCAACTTCATCTTCCAAACCTGTGAGCTCCACCACCCACAAGACAATGGCAGAAATGCATAAGAACACCACACCTGTAAGCTGCTCTCCAAGTCATATACCATCTTGACATGTAACTATATCACTGTTCCTCACTTTTGCTGGGACAAAATTGTGGAACTCACTTCCTAACAGCAATGTGACTTTATTGCACACAAAGGACTGAACAGTTCAAGGTGACATGAACTTGAAAACATAGAAAATAAGTGAAGGAGCTAGTCATTTGGCCCTTCAAGTTTACTCCACTATTCAATGCGATCATCCAACTCAGTACCCTATTTACACTTTCTCCCCATACCCTTTGATACTTTCAGCCCCAAGAACTATATCTAACTCCTTGAAATCATTCAATCTTTTGGCCTCAACTGCTTTCTGTGGTACAGAATTCTTCAGGCTTACTACTCTCTGGTGAAGAAACTTTGCTTCATCACAGTCCTAAATGGGCTACCCTGTATCCTTAGTTTATGACTCCTGGCTCTGGACTCCCTGTTTTGTCTAGTTAGAATTTGATTGGTTTCTGTGAGACTGCCCCTCATTCTTGTAAACTCCTGTGGAATATAGACCTAACTGATCCAGATGCTCTTCATACATACAGTCCTATCATCACAGGATTCATTCTGGAAAACCTTTGTTGCACTCTGTCAATGACCAGGATGTCTTTCCTCAGCTAAGGAGATCAAAATTGTTTACAGTACTCCAGGTGTGGTGTCACCAAGGCCCTGTATAATTGCAGCAGGACATCCTTGTTCCTGTATTCAAATTCTCTCTCTGTGAAGGCCAACATACCACTTACCTTCTTCACTGTCAGCTGCACCTATATGCTTACTTTCAGTGACTGGTGAACAAGAAAACCAGGTCTCACAGTTATAACCTCTCAGTTATCCACATTAAATTTCATTTGCCCACTCACTCAACTTGTCCAAATCACACCAAAGCATCGCTGCATCCTCCTTATAGTTCACCCTCTCACCCAGACTTATATTATCTGCAAAGTTGGATATATAAAACTTGGTTCCCTCATCTAAATCATTAATATATACTGTGAATAACAGGGGTCCTAGTATCCTAGTCCCCGTGGTACCCCATGAGTCATTTCCTCCCACTCACAAGAAGATCTGACTATTTCAACCTGTTGTTTCCTGTCTGCCAACTAGTTCTCCATCCATGTCAGTACATGACCCCAAATACCATGCTTTTTAAATTTACATGATAAGATTTATGCAGGATGTTACTGAAAGTCCAAGTAAACTCCATCTACTGGCTTCTTCCTTATCAACTCTTATTGGACCTACAAAGAATTCCAGTAGATTTCCTTATGTAAATCCATGCTATGACTGATATTTTCACCGTATTCTCGCATTTCCCCCCCTATTGATGTCAGGCTAACCAGTCTGTAATCCCCTAGTGCCGCTCTACTATCTTTTTTAAACAGTGGGGTTACATTATTTATCTTCCATAGGAACCGCTCCAAATTCAACAGATTCCAGAAAGATGGCCACCAATATATCCACCATTTCTAGCGCCATTTCCTTACATACTCTGGGATGCAGATCATCATACACTGGGGTTTTATTTGCCTTTAATCCCATTAATTTCCCCAACATCATTTCCCTAATAATACTGATTCCCTTCAATTCCTCCCTCTCACCAGACCCTGTGTTGTGCAACATTTTTGGGACGTTATTTTGTCCTCCTTTATGAGAAGAGGACAAAAATATGTATTTAATTGGTCTGCCCTCTCTTTGTTCTCCCCTGTTTCTGGCTGTAAGGGACCTATGTTTTTCTCTTCACATACCTATAGAGGCTGCTACAATCAATTTGTAGGCTTCTGTCGCAATTGAAACCAGATGGCCCTGTTAACGAGGTTCCTGATTGGGGTCATTAACCTGGGCCAATCAGGAAAGCCTTGGCTGACCAATATAACCAGGAGATTAGGACTCCAAGCTGCTGGCTACAGCCAGTGTACTGTACTGTAGTTAAAAAAAAAAGTGACTTGGTGATGGGACACTGGCCTCTGTGCAGTTATTTCAATTCCTCACAAGCCTTCTCTCCTCCTCTATTCTCACCTTTTAAACCAATCACTTCATCCTTCTTGGCTGAAATCTAAATTGTTCTCTATCTTTAGGTCAAGGGCATTTTTTGCTATTTTATATGCCCGTTCCTTGAATCTAAAACTATGCCTAACTTCCCTTATTAGCCATGATTGGGCCACCTTTCCCATTTTATTTTTGTGCCATGTAGAAATGAACAGTTAGTGCAGTTCCTCCATGCACGCTTTACATGAATTTTTATTGTCTGTTTTTATGTTACTTGTTCGTACGCCCTCAATTATTTTCCTCCTTTCATGATCAACTTCTGTTGGCTTTTAAAACTTTTCCAATCCTCTAATTTACCACACTACTTTTTTCTTTTCAATTTGGTACTATCCTCAACTTTCCTGGTTAGCCACGGTCATTCCGAAAGTCCTTCTACCTCACTGGGTTGTATCTTTGTTGGAGTCATGAACTATTTTCTTAAACATCTGCCTTTTTTCTCAACCTTCTTTTCTGCTAAACTCTAGTCCCAATCCTCTCCAGCCCTTGTTCCCATATAATTATCCTTATTTAAGGTTAGCACAGTTGTCTCCAACTAAAGCTTCTCACTCAAACCGAATGCTAAATTCTACAATGTTAACTCACTGTTTCTAGGGGATTTTTACTCTGACATCATTTAATTAGTCTGCTCATTACACATGATTCAGTTGGATTGTGAGCATGGGACATATTGTACAATCTATACCCATTGTCTCAAACTAACAACTTGATTAATTTCATTGAGTGACACTCCAAGCATATAACCAGACAATCAGAACCTTATTTCAACAGTACAGATAAAAATGCTCAATAAAAGCCAAAAGAACTGCAGATGCTGTAAATGAGGAACAAAAACAAAGTTGCTGGAAAAACTCAGCAGATCTGGCAGCACCTGTGAAGGAAAAAAGAGTTAACATTTCGGGTCTGGACGTGAAAAGTTAAGTCTGTTTTTTCCTTCACTGATGCTGCCAGGCCTGCTGAGCTTTTCCAGCAACTTTGTTTTGCTCCTAAAAGGGCTCAAATTTGATTTTAAAAGTCTTGTTCACATTTAACATACCTTCTGCTTTATGAAGTTCCAATGCCAACTGCTCCCTAGCCTTCTGCTCTTCATTAATTCTCTCAAGTAGTTCTTCTTGGCGTTTACGTAAATCATCAATCTCAGTTTTCCTTCGGACAGATTTTCGCATGAGGTCCGTCTGAGTGGCCCTGGCATGATCAAGCTACACACAAAGCATATTACATAAATTAATCTTGAACAGTTGTTTATCAGTTCTTAATCAACACTTACATATATACTAAAGATAATCACCATTTGCTAAGAGTTTAAGTGCACATATTAAGTAGTGCAATTCTTATTCATTCACAGGATGAGGGTGGTGCATTTATTATCCATCCCTAATTGCCCAGAGGGCAGTTAAGAGTCAGCCACATGTGGGTCTGGAGTCACATGTAGGCCAGACCAGGCAGGATGGTGGTTTCCTTCCCTGAAGGACATTGGTGAATGGGTTTTTCCCTGATAATTGACAATGGATTCATGGTCATCGTTCATAAATGAAACGTGTTTGGAAGAGCTCTGGTGGTTAATTAGAAACTTCAGTGCACTTTACTGTGTGAGGTAATACATGCCTTTTCCTTGACATCTGAAATTTAAAATGAATTGAAAGCACCATTTTTTTTTCTATTTAGTAGAAGTCATCCAGAAAAATTTAAATTAATGAGGATAACGTTTAAGTATTTAGTTCACTGTACTGGGTACCTAATCTTACAGAATAATTATAATTTGCCCCATCTACTCTATGTATATAAATGTTAACTGAAAACATATTGAAACATATAGTACATAATTTGATGCTGCTACATTAGAAACATTAGGACAGATTCTTAAAAAATAAAATTAACTTTGTTAAAGTCTTGAACTATATTTCCCCAGAAATGGAAGTGTCCTGATCTACTGGTGGTGCATAATTGCGGAGACTGGCAGGAGATGTGCCTAATCCAACACAACTTTATAGAATTAAAGACACTTACATATATCAAAAATTACATCACTTGTGACATGAATGGAGTATTCACCCTGGGGTAGGGACGATGGAAAGAAAGAGTGAAAGAAAGGAAATTGGCTTCAGGTCTTGAAATAGCTTCATATAGCAGATCAAAGACTTGAGATATTAAACAAGTGGATAGCTTTCCAATCCACCTGCTTTTCTCTGGCAACTGATAACAGGTCTCATATCAGTTTCCACTCCTAAATTTTAGCAATAAGGTAAAATTTATTAAAACTTAATAAAATTTTGGACTACACATGAATACAACTTCAAAGAAAAGAAGTGTGCAACACTATTTTACCCATCATATTTGAAATGTTATATACGCTCTTACACTACCTAATTTTTAATGTGTTGACATTAATGCTTTCCACAGTTTTGCATTTAAACTGCAATACAGAATGACGTCTTCAATTCTTACACACAGTACCAGCATTCTTCTTTCAGCAGCAATTTGATTATTTATATAAATCTGTAAACGATCTGTTACTGCAAGACTTTAACTAAGCAGAGCTTGCTTACATAGTATGAAGTGTATTAACAATAGTAGAATTTAAGGTGTAGTTTTCAAAAATCTATTCCTCCAAATTAATTTAGCAAAACCCAGCAAAGTCCATACATTCCATAAGCTCTTGACAACTTTGACTTTGTTTAATATCTTAGAGTCATAGAGTTGTACAGCACGGAACCAGACTTTTCGATCCAACTGGTCCAGATATCCTAAACTGATCTAGTCCCATTTGCCAGCACTTGGCCCATCCAGGTGCCTTTTCCATGTTGTAATTGTTTCCCGCCTCCAGTACTTCCTCTGGCAGCTCGTTCCATGCATGCGCCACTCTGTGTGAGAAAACGTTGCCCTTCAGGACCGTTTTGAATCTTCCCCTCTTATTCTAAACCTATGCCTTCTATTTTGGACACCCCTACCCTGGTGAAAATACCTTGGCTATTCACCCTATCCATGCTCCTCACAATTTATTAAACCTCTATAAAGGTCACCCCTCAGCCTCAACACTCCAGGGAAAAAAGCCCCAGCTTATTCAGCCTCTCCCTATAGCGTAAACCCTCCATTCCCAGCAACATCCTGGTAAATCTCCTCTGAACCCTCTCTAGCTTAATAACATTCTTCTTGTAACAGGGTGACCAGAACTGGACACAGTACTCCAGAAGGGGCCTCATCAACGTCCAATACCACCTCAACATAATGTCCCAACTTCTATACTCAAATGTGATAGCAATGAAGGGAAGCATGCTTAATGCTTTCTTAACCACCCTATCTATAGGTGATTCAAACTTCAAAGAATTAGTACCTGAACCCTTAGTTCTACAACATTACCCAAGGCCCTACTTTAATTGTATATTATTGTTTGTTTCACCAAAATGCATTTATCCAAATTAAACTCCATCTGTTACTCTTTAGCATAAACGACAAACAAAAGTGAAATAAGTACAGATCCCTGTGGAGTCCAAAAACAATCCTCTACCATTACTCCCTGTCTCCTGCTGTAAAACCGATTTTGTATCCAACTGGCAAGCATGCCCTGAATCCCATTGATCTAACTTGACTAATTAGTCTACCAAGTGGAACACTGTCAAAGGCTTCACTAAAGTCCAAGTAAACAATGACTACCACTCTGCCCTCTGGGTTATTTCCTGAAAAATACTCAAAGCAAGTTTGTGAGACATGATTTCCCTAGCACAAAACCACGCTGATGATCCCTAATCATTCCTTCCCTCTCCAAACGCAAACAAATTATATCTTTCAGAATCACCTCCAACAACTTGCCCATCACCGAAGTCAGACTCACAGGTCGATAGTTTGCATGCTTTTCCTTACATCCCTTCTTAAACAAAGACGCAACATTAGCCACTCTCCAGTCATCTGGCACCTCACCTATAGTTATACATGAAGAAAAAATATTTTTTCAAGAAACCCTGTAAATTTCTCCCTAACTTCCCACAATGTCCTGGGATACACTTAATCAGGTCCCGGAGATTCAACCAACTTTGTATTTTCTGAGACCTCCAGCACTTCCTCTTCTGTATTGTGAACTGTTTTCAAAATGTCAATATTTACTTCTGAGTTCCCTGGCCTCCATTTCTTTCTATGCAGTAAAAACTGACACAAAATATTCATTTAATATCTCACCCACCTCCTGAGGTTCAACACAGGGAAGACCTCTTCGATCTTTAAGGGGGACTAATCTCTCTCTCGTTGTTCTCTTGCTCTTAAATGTATTTGTAGAATCTTTCTGGATTATTCTTAGCCTTATTTGCCAAGGCTATCTCATATTCTCTCTCTGCCTTCCTGATCTCCCTCTTAATGTCCCTACACTTTTAATACTGTGCAAGAGATTCATTTGAAGCCAGTTGTCTATATCTAATATATGATTTATTTTTATTCTTGACTAGAACCTCAAAAGCTTTATTCATCCATTGTTCTCTAATTATTCCAGGCTTACCTGTTCACTTTAAAAGAACATAATGACTCAACTCCCATTATCATATTTTTGAAAACCTCCCACTTATCACACAACCCCTTACGTGCAGTCTATTCCAATCAACTTTTGAAAGTTCTTGTCTCATACCATTAAACCTTGCCTTACTCCAAATAAAAAATTTAATTTTTATGGAAGGTTTATCCTTTTCCATAACTATTTGAAAAGAAACAGAATTATGACCACTAGACCTAAAGTGTTCCCCTACTATCACTTCAGTCACTTGCCCTGTCTTATTACCCAAGAGAAGGTCACGTGTTGTTTCTTCTCTAGAAGGAAGATTTACATATTGATAAAGATTTTTTTCTTGAACTCATTTGACAAATGCTTCACCATCCAAACCTTTAGCACTATGGTAGTCCCAGTCAACGTATTGGAAGTTAAATTCACCTACTATTACAATCTTATTATTCTTACATATATCAGAGATCTCCACACATTTGTTCCTCAATTTCCCTCGGACTATGGAGGGGAGGGTTGTCTATTGTACAATTCCATCAAGATCCTAGAGTCATAGAGTTGTACAGTGGGGAAACAAACCTTTTGGTCCAACTCGTCCATGCTGACCAGATATCAAAAATTAATCGAGTTCCATTTGCCAGCATCTGGCCCATATGCCTCGACACCCTTCCGAATCATATACCCATCCAGATGAATATAAAATGTTTTAATTGTATCAACCTCCACCACTTCCTCTGCCAGCTCAATCCATACAAGTACCACCCTCTGCAAAGGAAAACATTGCCCCTTAGGTCCCTTTTAAATCTTTCCCCTTCGCCTCAAACCTTTGCCCTCGAGTTCTGGACACCCCCATCCCAGGTGATCTTTCCTTTTTTATTTCTAATTTCAACCCATGTATTTTCACTGGACGATTCTTCAATTTTGATTTTTCCTAGCAACATCTTTGTAAATCTTTTCCGAACTCTTTCAAATTTGTGGAAGTGGCAGCGTTGGACTGGGGTCGACAAGGTCAGAACTCACATGACACGAGGCTACAGTCCAACAGTCTTATTTGAAAACACAAGATTTCGGAGTCTCATTCCTTCTTCAGGTGTTAGTTAGGGAGGTAGTATCAGACACAGATTTTACAAGTAAAAGATCCAAGGTTCACACCATTAATGAGGATGTATTAAACAAACCTAAGATGCTGTTAAATCTTCAATCAGTTAGAAGGTTTTAATCGATTAGAATGGAAAAGTAAATCCCCAAATTCCTTTCAAGTCATGGTCCTGAGACAACTAAAGGTTTTATCAGTGGAAAGAAGAGGTGACATTTCGGGTCAGACAATGTATGTCAGGTGTGCAGATGCTGCAACCGCATTCGGTGCCAATGACGACTACCTCAACAGGGATCACCAGACGTGAACTCACCACACTGTCCAGTCACCCTCCCTCTCTCTCTCTCTCACGCGCGCACCCTCTCTCTCTCTCTCTCACGCGCGCACCCTCTCTCTCTCTCTCTCTCTCACGCGCGCACCCTCTCTCTCTCTCTCTCACGCGCGCACCCTCTCTCTCTCGCTCACGCGCGCACCCTCTCTCTCTCTCGCTCACGCGCGCACCCTCTCTCTCTCTCGCTCACGCGCGCACCCTCTCTCTCGCTCACGCGCGCACCCTCTCTCTCACACACGCACACCCTCTCTCTCTCTCGCTCACGCGCGCACCCTCTCTCTCACACACGCAC